ATTCTGTGCCCTGTAGGAAGACATACTGATAAACAGATAATGTCAATGGAATATGGTAACTACTGAGAATTATGTGGAAAAACAAAACAAAACAAAAAACCCCAGAGGAGTCAATGACCCTGGCTGGAGAATCAGACAATGGTTTCTGAATCAGAAAGTATAAACAGTGTAGAAAGAGTATTAAGAACCATCCAAGATATAGAATTCTGAAAGAGCAGGATATGTTTAGGGAACCTGCTTTAAAAAGGTGTCAGATTAAAGGGCCGGGAAGGCAAGGGGCCGAGGTCAGAAAGGAAAGAGAAAATGGTGAAAAACAGAGAAAAACCGTAGTGTTAGAAACCAAAAATCATGGTTTTGCGAAGGAGCAATCAGGCCTTGGTAAGGACCTTGGACTTCAGCATATAAGCAGCAGGAAACACTGATGTTATTATTACAAAAAATTAACAAAGTCTCATCTGTGTTCTAGAAAAATTACTCTCCTTCTCTAACACATTTAATGAGCTAAGTATGGAGGATTGAATTAAGGTAGGGGCAAGACAGGAGGCTTATTCTTGCAGTAGTTCATGGAAGAGAGTAGGGCCAAACTAAGAAAGTCACAGCGGATACAGAAAAGATAAAACATATTAGGAGGCATTTAGGAAATGAAATTGGCAGAAATTAGTCTTTGCTGGGGAGAGTGAGGGAGAGGAGAGGCTCAGAAATTACTCTCAAGTCTGCAGCTGAGATTCCTAGATTGCTACACCACTGACGCACAGGGAATTCGGGATAAAGAGCAGATGCTGAAGATAGATAATGGGTTTAGTTGTGAACACAACTGCATTTGAGATGCCTGTGGGGTGTACAGGTAAGGCTAGCTTGCACACAGTTGATCAAATGAATTTTAGGAGTCCTCAGTCCCCGGATAATAGCAAAACCCATGAAAATGGATGAGCTCACTCAGAGAGAACATACAGAATGACAAATAAGGGAAACCGATAGAGGAAATAATCCTGGAAACACCGGCACTTTGGGGTGGGCTAAAGGAAGAGGATCCAGGGAAGGAAATGATGAAGACAATGGCAGAGAGGTAGAAGGACACCCAGAGGAGTAAGTTGCCACCTAAGCCGAAAGAAAACAGAATTTTAAGAGGGAAATGGCCAGGCACGTTGAACATAGCACAGAGCCTTTCTGAGATTAGTACTGTAACGCACCCAGTGGATTTGGCGGTTAGTATATCACGGGTGATGATCAGAATAATGACGTAATCAGGACGTGAAGGCAGAAGGATTATGGCGTGTGGGAGAGTAAATAGAAGGCAAGACCAGAGAGAAAGCAAGTGTTGACAAGTCCTTTGAAGCCTTAATGAGAATCTGAGGTCCTTAAGAGAGGAGGGACAAGAGAGTAGGAAGTAGAGCTGCATGACTTGGGGAAAGTTCCTGAGAAAAGGAAAAGGAGCTAGAGAAGCACTAGCGAAGGATAGCCAAGGGGCACTGAAGGCATTTTCGAGATTCAAATCCAGAAAATTTCAGTGGCAACAATCCACACTTTCGTTTCCCTGTCAAAAGATGAGTTGCCAAATTAGCCAGAGTTAGATCAAGTTGCTGCCGAAGAATCTACTTAAAAGGTCATTGGGCAGATGGTGAAACGTGGGGTTCTCTAGCTACAAGCAAGGCTGGAAATACAAACATTTAGCTTTCTGGAGTCTGTGCCAGAGCGAGCAAGGAAGAATTGGAGGTAAGTGTGGGTTCACCTAACAAGCAGTGTCTGCCCTGGAGAGCAAGCTTCATTCAGCATCCTCACTGACCAGTCAGTACAGAAAGCCACCGTTACAGTGACACAACTAGAGTCTCAAAAACACCTGCTTTTATGCAGCGGTTCTTTTTTTTTTTTTTAATTATTTATTTATGATAGTCACACAGAGAGAGAGAGGGGAGAGAGAGAGAGGCAGAGACACAGGCAGAGGGAGAAGCAGGCTCCATGCACCGGGAGCCCGACGTGGGACTCGATCCCGGGTCTCCAGGATCGCGCCCCGGGCCAAAGGCAGGCGCCAAACCGCTGCGCCACCCAGGGATCCCTATGCAGTGGTTCTAAGAGCAGCAGGATATTATGAATGATCTGATGTGACCCATCCCCTAGTATTAGCAAAATAACTCGAAGTGTGTCTCTTAATAAAATGATCAAGTGCTAATTATTTTTAAAGTCCATTGGATGTGGGCTTTGTGGATATGAAGCGCAACCCCTGAAGTATACAACCACGGAGCCTCTAACAGGATGTGTGTGCATGTGTGTGTCCAGTAACCTCCTACCTCCACTGCATCCCAAGCCAATTCTGTCAGCAGTTCTTTTTTTTGTAGATTTTCATTTGACATTTAGAAGAGAGTTCACTGTTCTGTGTTGTATTTGTTTGCCATGCTTACCATTTTTTTGCTCAGTATATTCCTTCTTGTTAAGAAAACTTTGTAAATCTCAATAAGCCCTTAGGAATTGACAGGCCGGCTTCTCCGTAGAACTCTGGGCGTGATTTTTCATAGCGCTTCACTAAAATGTTCTTGTTGTAGATTGCAGTCGAGCAAAACATACAATGTGTTGCTTTTCTAAGCTACTTTTGCCTCACTCATCCCAAGTTTTACCTTGACTGTTTGTCTTCCATTAATTAACTGCTTGGATTTTTTTTTTTTTTTTTAACTTTCATGGTGGAATTTGTCCAGAATGTCTTTGATAGAGTTTAGGAGATTGGTATAACTTTTGACCTGAAGCCATGAGCCTGATCTCTTCGGGCTCTGATTTCTGCCCCTTATCATTGGCACATAAAGAGCTCTCAAACCCCAGTTAGGGTCATTCAACAGCAGAGTCCAGGGACTCAAAAGCCCTAACATGCTTTCAAGTATTAGAATGGTGGTACTTAAGAGTTGCTGTCGGGCAGCCCCGGTGGCTCTGTGGTTTAGCGCCACCTTCAGCCCAGGGCGTGATCCTGGAGTCCCTGGATCGGGTCCCACGTCGGGCTCCCTGCGTGGAGCCTGCTTGCTTCTCCCTCTGCCTGTGTCTCTGCCTCTCTCTCTCTCCTCTCTGTGTATTCTCATGAATAAATAAATAAAATCTTTAAAAAAAAAAAAAGAGTTGCTTTCATCCAGCCTGCCAAATGAAAACATTATGAAGGCAGTGATCTCGCCTTGCAATCGTCCAACTTGGGCAATGTTACCCTTAGAGAGGGGGCAGGTTACTGAGCATCCTGAATAATGCCAAAGCTGGTGGTAATCTTAAATCTACGTCATTCCATTTTATTCTTTCTTACGGATCAGTTCCCTTGGCCTGAATTTGTTTGGTTTTCATTTAATCTTTGCCATAATAATTTATTAAAGTCTGGTTTCCCAGAGGAGAAACTTGGCCTTATGAGGCTGGGCTGTCTTTCTGGGCTGTTCTCTGGGCTTAGCAAAGTCCAGAAACAGATGCAGCTCTGAAAGGCCTGTGGCTATAGAACCTGCCACAGCCACACGTAACTCTCTGCCCTGTATGGTGACCTCCTCCCGAGTTAGTGATGCTTTGCCAGATCTCATATCCCCTAAGTGCCCTCCCTCCAAAAGATACTGCATCCTCTGACAGAAGAATTCTCAGGTGGAAAAGCAAAAAATACTGATAATGGAATTTCAAGATGGAATTATCTTTTAAGTACCTTGTCACTATAATTAAGCTTAAGACTCATAACCTGGACAAATCAAATCACACGCCAAAGAATAATAATAATTGCTTGTTATTTGTATTAATATTAAATGAGGTTGATATGCTATTTTTCTGTGTGTTTTAGCCACATTAAACCATTTAATGCTCCTCAAAACCACATGTTGTAGGTAATAGTACTCTGTTTTACAGTGAGAAACTAAGACATAATTTAAGTATTTCACTCTTGGTCATGTAAGTAAGTAGTGGAGACAGGATTCAAAGCCAGTCTTGGAAACTGTAGAGTAGCAAAAGAACTTTTGAATGAAATTGCCAAACTAATTGTTAGTGATCTTTGAGAAATTATGGGGAACTGGATATGCAACAGAGGCCTAGACATAAATATAGTTCACACTTTTGCTGTTCAGTATCTTCCCGAAGAAAATGTCTAAGTGCCTTAAATATTTTATCAATTACTTGATAGAGATACCGAAAGTAGTTTTATCAAATTTTCCAAAAAGACCTTTTGGGGCTTTTAGCTGACTATAATCTCTCTATGAGTTAAAGTAGAATATGGCACACTTCCTACTCCACCCCACACCAAGAAGATTTCAGGCTTCTGTGCAAGCAGCATAGCATCTAGAACAAGGGAGCTAATAATTCTGTCCGGACAGGACACACCTACTCTGTATTATTTATTATGTTTGGTCCTGAGAGCTACATTTCAAGGGAGATCTAGAACAATTGGAATATTTTTGTTGGCAAATTATGAGAATTGTAAAATAATTCACTCTGACTATATGAAGAATAGCTGAAAAACTGGGGATAACTAGCCTGGGAAAAGGAAGACTTCAAGGAAGCCAAAAGACATGGTATCTTTAATACCTGAAGTGCTAACACATGTGAGAATGAATGTGAAGTTGGTAGAATCAGAGCCAATGATTAGAAATTAATGGCAACAGATACGGCTAAATGTAGATGGCCACGTCTTTCAGAGATGGCGTAGGCTGCCTTAAAAATTATCAAGTTCTCTTTCACAAACATTTGTGTGAATATGCAACCAGAAGCATAGCAGCCACTTGAAGTTGTACAAGTGACACAAGCCTAGACCACGTGGTTGGGCCGGATGACTACTAAGGCCACTTTCCATCTCTGAGATTCTGTTCTATTAACCTATGCATTGATTGAAAGCAATCAGTGTTGAATCAAGTACAGAAATAGTCTATCGTGTCTTGGACATCTAATGCTGCCAACACCAGCATTAGCCAAATTGGCAAAAACATGATGAGCAACAGAGTAAGATGTCATTTCAAGCAGATCTATAGGTATCTGGTGCAGTGACTGATAGTTTCTTCTCCTTCTTTCAGTGTTGTCTCCTGCTCAAGAGAGCCATATGAACATGGATCTTCCTCCAGTGTCAGAGCAGATCATGCAGACTCTGAGTGAACTTGCCAAATCCTTCCAGGATATGGCTGACCGCTGCTTGCTGGTCCTACATCTGGAAGTCAGGTATGACACAGCCAAGCACAAGACTGCAGTTTAAATGCATCATGGGTCATATATCACTTGCTTCTTTCTAGAAAGTGTCACCATAACTTATCATTGATGCCCTTTTTATATACTGACTGTGATTTTTAGTGTTAATCACCGTGAAAGTTTGGAATCATGTGCAGTATCGGAAATACAGTGATACAGAGTTTGCCTGGCCTGTGACATCAGAATGATCTGGATTTGAATGTCTCTACCAGCTACTAAGCCATCTTAAGTCAATTTTACTAATCCTGCTTTCTTTCTTTTTTTTTTTTTTAAGATTTCATTTATTCATTTGAGAGAGAGAAAAAGAGCATAAGCAGAGGGGAGTGGCAGGAGCAGACTCCCCGCTAAGCAGAGAGCCTGACATGGGACTCGATCCCAGGACCCGGGATCATAACCTGAGCCAAAGGCAGATGCTTAGCTGACTGAGCCACTCAGGCACCCCAGTAACCTTGTTTTCTTATTGTAAAAGTAAAACGGTAATTCCTAACTTACAGACTTTGTAAATGAAATAATAATTAGTACAATGCTTGCCACAAAATAAATGCTCAAAATGTGGTAACTTTATGATTATGGTGATTTTATTGTCACTGATATTTTCACTAATGTACTCTGCTGATTAGTGAAGGAGTATACAGATGCAAGAGCTATGACCCCTTCCTTCAAGAACTTACAACCCAAGAAGAAATTACATTAAATAATAATTCAGGACAATAGTTTCAAAGACTCCGTATTCTTGGACTCTTGTTTTTTCCCCTGTGGTGTGGAACAAGCTAATGCTTTGGTGGCCTCTCTTATCACATCTATGGAAATGGTAGAAAGAAAAGACTGGGAAGTTTTCAATCATTTGTTCATTCAATAGACATTTACTGAGTGCCCTCTCTGTGCTAGGCAGTGTTCTAGGAATTGGGATACAGCAATGAAAAAATCACTCAAGGGCCCTGCTCTTATGGAGCTACATTCTAAGGGGGGAGGAGGGGAACAGGCAATGAATGAACAAAAATGATAATTTCACATAAGTACAACTAACAAAATAAAATAACATAATGAAATCAAGCAGTGCTATCCAATAGAACTATAAAAGTGAGCTATATGTTCAAACCACATAATTAAAATTTTCTAATAGTCATTTGAAAAAGTAGATAATATAATAAATTATATTTTTTCTAACCCAGTATTTCCAAAATATTATCATTTCAGCATGTAACTCATGTAAAAATTATTGATGAGCTGCATTTTTTTTTCTGTACTAAGCCTTTCAAATCTGCATATTTTACACTTACAGCACGTTGAAATTCAGACTGGTCACATTTCAAGTGCTTCACAGCCACACGTGGTTAGTCCTAACATTCTGGACATTGGAGAGATTAGCTGGGGTCGACTACGAAGGGGTTTTGGCTTTTTTGGCTTTCAAGTAGTATGGCCAAAGGAAATATGACATGGTAACAGGAAGGAACCATCTGTACAAAGAATTTCTGACAGAGAGGGCAACACCCCAAGGTCCCAAGACAAGCGAGCTTGGCAGGGTTGAGGAATGGAGAGGAGTGTCACTCTAGCCCTGTGAATAAGGAAGTGAAGAGGAGTGAAAGGTTACATAAAGAGGCAGGCTAGGGCCTGACCATGTGTGGTCATGAAGCCTGGCCGATTAGAGTGACCCTCAGACCAAGTGAAAGTTGAGATTTCAGGGATGTCTGGGTGGCTCAGCGGTTGAGCACCTGCCCCTGGCTCAGGGCGTGATCGGCGGTCTCAGGATCGAGTCCCATATCAGGCTCCCTGCCTGGAGCCTGCTTCTCCCTCTGCCTACATCTCTGCCTTTCTCTCTGTATCTTTCATGAATAAATAAATAAATAATTTTAAAAAAAGAAAAGAAAAGAAAGTTGCGATTTCATTCTAAGTGCCTGAAGAAGACATAGAAAGATTTTAAGCAAGGGAGAGAGATTCATTCATTCATTCATTCACTTTTCATTTTTTAAAGAGCACTTTAGCTTTTGTTTGGAAAAGGGATTGTAGGAGGAAATATGAATGGAAGCAGAGTGAGTTTTGAGACCAGGTCCAAGCACCAGGGTGGCAGACGTAGAGGTGTGAGAAGGGTTGATTTGAGATATATTTCGAAGGTAGAGCTGATGAGATGTGTCAATCAGTTGGATTCGGTGCAGGGGCCAGTGGCAGTGAAAGAAAGGATCCAAGGCAAACCACACCAGCTTTGGGGCCAGGGTAACTATGTGGGTGCCAGGGCTGTTAACTCGGGTGAGAAAGTCTGAGGGAGGAGAAGAATGGGGGCATGGTGGTGGACATCAAGACTTCCATCTTGGAGATGTTCAGTGTGAGATGCTTACTAGACCTCTACATAGCAACGTCAAAAAGACAGCTGGCAGATACAGATGTTTGCAACTGGAGGATCAGAAAATTCTAGATCGGAAACTGTATAGTAATACATCTGTATTACCATGAGACATTATTAAAGTCCATGTAGCATTTTGTTTTTTCATTTGGAGTCTTTACTAGATTAAGGTTTTAAAAACGTAAATAGGATTTTAGTTCATGTGTCTGGACTCCAGTTAGAACTTGGATGTCTTTCAGGTGTGCTCAGGCAAAGCATAATTGATCATGTTTTGTGGGTGTCGTTTCTTTTGTATGCCGCGTGCTTTTTTCATTCTTCATTATCTTGTCCAGTGAGTTACTTCTTAATTGCTTGTGAGCACTTTATGAGCGGAGTCAGGGAAGCAGCATTGCAGATTTGAAGTGTTTTATTACACAGCATCATTTCTGATATTTCTTACATGCAGCTGTCCAAAAAGAAAGGCTCTTCCACTATGTTTTCTGACTTGTTTTACAATAATTTTTAGATTTGTTTTATATTTATTTACAAGCTGACAGTAAAATAAATCAGGTGGTTTCTATGAATAGATACATGCAATAGGCAGAAACAAAAACAAAAATCAGAAACATTCTGATGCCTCCATTACTTGGGTTGCACAGAAAAGCAAGGGAACATCGAATTAATTACTATCACAACTCCTAGAATTCATGCTATTGATTGTGTTGGGAACATAATGTGTTCCACATCCAGAATTAGCCTCTTGGAGTGTAGTTCATTCTGAGTGGGAGATTTTCAACACATGAGAGTAAGTCTTTTAGATCCTTAACCTGTATTCTGCCCTTTTAATATTTGTACGTCATGACAGTACTATTCTTAATGCTGCACACACTTTGGTCATTATTTATTAACTTTACAAGAAACCATTCAGTACAATAACACCCATTGCTATATCTCTTTTGGCAATCATTTAAAAACAGATAAAGGGGAATCCCTGGGTGGCGCAGTGGTTTGGCGCCTGCCTTTGGCCCAGGGCGCGATCCTGGAGACTCGGGATCGAATCCCACGTCGGGCTCCCGGTGCATGGAGCCTGCTTCTCCCTCTGCCTGTGTCTCTGCCTCTCTCTCTCTCTCTGTGACTATCATAAATAAATAAAAATTAAAAAAAAAACAGATAAAGGTCATTGTAAGAATGAATAACAAAAAGCACCGAGTTTTACAGTCCCTGACACAGAATTTTCTTCCCTTGACTTTTATGAAAAGCACTAAACATGTTTATTGTTTCTAAATTAAATTCCCTCACCTTCTCATATAACATGGTTTCAGCATTCAGGTTGCTTTCTTATGAATATGCTGCTCATTGTCTTTGTTCCTTTTAAAGTATAGTGGAGATACAGTGAGCACTGGGTGTTATATAAGACTGATGAATCAGGGACGCCTGAGTGGCTCAGCGGTTGAGCATCTGCCTTCAGTTCAGGGTGTGATCCCAGGGTCCTGGGATCGAGTCCCACATCGGGCTCCCCGTATGGAGCCTGCTTTCTCCCTCTGCCTGTGTCTCTCATGAATAATGAAAATAAATAAAATTTAAATAAATAAATCTTTTTTAAAAAATGATGAATCACTAACCTCTACCTCTGAAACCAATAATACAGTATATGTTTTTTAATTGAATGTAAATAAATTTTTTAAAAAACAGAGCAATGGGAAACCTTAAAAAAATTTTTTAAATAAAGTATGGTAGATAAAACTAGGCAGAGAGCCCCATGGATGGTTCAGGTAATAAATATTGACATACTTCATTCTTTCCTTGTCTCAGTAACAAGCGTTTGTGTGCATGTGTGTTTATACAGTTAATAATACGATAAAACGAGTAAGGCATTTCACTGGCAGGTCAGTACATTGTACTATGGTAACGCTAAAATAAGGAGAGTGCCAAGCACTTCCGCTATCCCAGTGGTTTACAGTGGAAGAGACTGTTGTCCCCTGGAAGGCAGGAATCAGGCGTACCACTTTTATTCTTATGGCCCCAGACCCTGGATCAGTCCTGCTACATAATAGGTGCCCGATAAAAACTTGAATGCTTCTTGAGAATTAGCTGGTTTGAAATGAAACCCAAAGTAAGTGCTTTTTGTCCAAACAAAACCTGTTGTTCTTTAAAGAAAATGAATTAAAAAAAAGAAAAAAGAAAATGAATTGATTTGGAGACTCAGTTTTCACCCAGTCATCTGCTACATGTATCTCAGAAGTACAGAGGCTGCGTGGCCAGCATCTTCCTTGTCACTATAATCTCCTAGTGGTTGTTTTGTTCCCATCCTGCCATAAAAGAGAATTAGGACTTAGGCCCTGTCATTCAGGAGCTGCTGCAATGAAGAAGTGGCTGGTTAGTGCTGTGTCTGGTGCTTTTACCCCAGAAGCCACTGGAATAGGAGAGAACAGATAGAATAGACAAAGAAATTAATGGGGAAAAAAAATAGTGGGAAATGCTGGCAAGAAGTCCAAACAACTTCAAATGCCGAAAATTTGTCTTATTCACCAAAATATCTTTATATCCATAGCCCATATTTTTCTGTAGCATCGTTAAAGTTCAAACCAGAAAGTGTTCTCAAATCCAGTAGGTTCTCTGTTGAAGGACCAATCCAAAGAGCATTGGACATTTTACC